TCGAACCCGTGTCCTCTGCATTGGCAGGCGGATTCTTAACTACTGCGCCACCAGGGAAGTCCTGTAGTCAGTTATTAATCTTTTAAATCATTAAAGGTGACATGTCATGCTTCAACACACTGGGATTATTATTATTTTTAACTTGCACATTTTCTTCTAGTAGTTTAATAGTTTCTCTCTCTCTCTCTTTTTTTTTTTTTTTTTTTTGCTTGGTTGGTGGGTGATCCGTCTGAAATTAATTTTGCTCTTAGCTACCTTTAAAATCTCCATCTGAAATCTGATGGTTGTCTAAAAAGCTGTGTAGTAAGTGGACAAGAGCATGATGACTGAAACCAGGTGGCTAGGCTTCAAATCCTGGCTCTGCCATTTTTCACTGTGTATCCTCAGGGAAGTCACTCTCTCTGAGCCTCACGTTACTCATCTGTAAAATGGGAGATAATAGCGTCATGTGAGAATTAAAGGAAGCTTTTATTATTTTTTTTTTAAATCATGTACCTAGAAGGCCATCTGGCACTTAGCCCATGTTTTTTTTTTCTGCTTGCTATTTTTGTTTTTATTTGCTTTTCAATTGCACTTGACTCTCAGCGTAGCCAATTAGCCAGCGACTATGCTTCAGGAACATTTCTAAGTGCTTATGTGCAGTAATTTACTCTCATAACAACCCCATTGGACAGATGGTAATATCGAGGCCCAGGGAGGTTAAGTTCCTTCCTGAGGAACTTCCAAGGGTCAGGGTTGGCATTAGAGCCCTTGATTTGCCCACTGCCCTGTTCTGGCCTCAGCCTCCCTCCCCCACTCTTGGCCACTCCTGGAGGAGGAGTTCCCACTGGGCTCCATCGTAACTAGCTTCTAAGTACAGACTAAATCTCTGAGGTCAAGTCAACATTCTGGATACCCAGAACTGGTCAGTCCTGTCCTGGTAGGTATGGCTGTGGAGAGGGGCAGGCAGCAGTCAAGGAAGGCTTTCAGGAAGAGGGTCCTTAGATAAGTAAGACTGGAGAGGCTGGCGGGGCCTGAGAGAGGGGTTGCAAGGGGGAGGGGAGGACAGCATGGAAGCCTCCCCTGACTGTCACTGACCACAAGGCTTGACTCTTGCTTCTCCCCACTAGGCACACAGTGAACTATATAGTTGGTGATCATGGGCAGTTGGTGGGAGTGTTGAACTTCTACTCAACTGTCAAAGCCCCAGGGCTCCAATGCCTACTCATCTGGAAAGCCATCTCCCCACTACTGGCCTTTCCCAGCCTGGGGTCTCTCCTACTACTCAAACCCTGACCACATAGGACTGGGAGTGTCTGTGTCCAGCTCTGTGTCCTTCACCTTCAACTGGGTGACCGTTGAGGGCAGGGCCCTAGGTTGGGATTTCTCTGGTGCCCAGCATCGCCCAGCCCAGCCCGGACACAGAATAAGTACTGGTTGAATAAGTCTTGAAGGAAATAAGGGAGTAAATGAGAGTCAAATATGTGAGTGACAAATACAAACCACAGACACTTCCTTCCAGGGCTCCCACCTCCCTTGGGATAAAAGCCCAGGTCCTCCCTGTGGCCCACAAGGTCCTACATGACCTGCCCCATCCCCTCCCTGACCCCCCCCCTCCTCCCTGTCTCCCCCTCGCTCACTCTGCTCCAGCCACACAGGCCTCCTCGCTGTTCCTCCAACAGGCAGGCTCTGTCCTGCCCCAGGACCTTTGCACAGGCTGTTCCCATCTCAGCCTGCAGTAAGTACTCTTGATCATGACTCTTTGCGTGGTTGGCTCATTCCTCCTTCAGATCTCCATACAAATGCCACCTCCACAGAGAGGCCTCCCTTGACCTTGATCCCTAAAATAGCCGGCCAGTCTCGAGCTCTCTTCCTCTTCTGGTCCCTCCCTGGCACTTCCCACGATCGGATGCACTGTGCATTTGCATATTTATCTTTATGATGCGGCTCCTTTTCGTGCGTTTTGTCCCGGGTCACCCGGGGCGCCTCCATCCGCCTGGCTCGCAGTAGGCACTTAATACAGGTCGACGTAAACTAAGGGGCGTCTGCGGGTGGGGGCTAGGGGCCCGCAGATCCACCCGCCGCGCCCCGCCCTCGTGGGGCCTCCAGTCTGCGAGCTGGGCGTGCCCGGGCAGGCTGGGCGCGGGCGCGGGCGCGGGCGCGGCGGGAGCGGGCGGCCGGGCCGGTTGGGCGGGTGCAGAGGGCGCGCGGGGCCCGGGCCGGGTCCGCGGGCCCGGGCCGGGTCCGAGTGTCCGGCGGGGACCATGGAGGGGCTGCGGCGGGGCCTGTCGCGCTGGAAGCGCTACCACATCCAGGTGCACCTAGCGGACGAGGCGCTGCTGCTGCCGCTCACGGTGCGGCCGCGGGACACGCTCAGCGACCTGCGCGCCCAGCTCGTGGGCCAGGGCGTGAGCTCCTGGAAGCGCACCTTCTACTACAACGCGCGGCGGCTGGACGACCACCAGACAGTGCGCGACGTGCGCCTGCAGGACGGCTCGGTGCTGCTGCTCGTCAGCGACCCCAGGTGGCCGAGGGAGGGGACTGGGGGGCGACCTGGGATCGGGGGCCCTGGCTGGGGTCCCCGGTGAGGGGTGAGTCAGGGCTGGGGGGAGACGGCGGGGCACAGGAGGGCCTGGCTGGCGTCCCCGGTGGGGTGGGAGGTGGGTCAGGATGGGCGGGGCCTGGGGGGCACAGGAGGGCCTGGCTGGGGTCCTGGATGGGGAATGCGTGGGGGGAGACGGCAGGGCACAGGAGTGCCTGGCTGGCGTCCCCGGTGGATTGGGAAGTGGGTCAGGGACGGGGGTGGGGGAGGCCAGGAGGGCCTAGCTGGGGTCAGGGTGGAGTGCGTGGGATGGTTGTGGAAGGGTGGACTGGGGATCCTTCTCGTCCTTGTGGACTCCTTGGAGAGCGCCCGGCACTGAGAAAGGCCAAGAGCCTGGCTCGATTCCCCCTGCAGGCTTTCTTCTTTTCTCTTGCTCTGTCTGCCTCTCTCCAGCCTCGCCGGTCTTTCTCACGATCTCTCTTTGTCTCCTGTCTCTCCCTCTCTCTGTGACACTGTCCCTGTTTATTTCCTTTCCTTCTTTCTGTCTCTCTCTGTCTCTCTGCATCTCTGCCCATTTCTGTCTCTGCTGTTTTTCTCTCTGTGTGTGTCTCTCTTCCTTTTCTGTCCATCCATCTCCCCCACTACCTCTGCCTTCCCCACAATCCCATCCTGACCCTTGGTGTCCACACTCTGACCTGGCCGTCTGGGGTTTCCAAAGAGGTCCCCTGGCCCAGATGACCCAAGAGGAGTGGGTCTCCCAACCCAAGAAGGGGTCTGCAGAGAAGGGCAGCTGGGCTGGGGGAACAGCACATGTAGAGCCCTGGGGCAGCTTTGGGAAATGGTGGAGGCTGGTGCTCGGCGAGATTGGCAGTGGATGGAGGCGCTGGGCCGGGGAGGGACTGGAGCTGTCTGTGTAACACTGGAGTTTATGGGGGTCATGCTCGCTGGGCCCCTAGAGGCTTGGTCCACCAAGTCTGGGTGACATTTTGAGAGTAGGAGCCTTAGATGCCAGTCCTGGAGGCTCAAGATGTGGTGGGAGGGCCTGCCTCTCCAGGCCCTCTCGAGGGAGGGTCTCACTTGGGGGTGGGAGAGGGTGTTCCTGGCAGTGGCCAAACAAAGTCTAGCAGCTGGACGATCCACAGACGTCTACACAGTCAATATTCAATATACAGTACGCATTTATTGGGTGCCTACTGTGTGCCGGGTCATGTGCTGGGCGGCACTGGAACCCAGCAGGGACCCAGACAGACCAGGCCTGCCCTCACGGAGCCCACAGTCAGTCCAGTGGAAGAGACAGACAAGGAACCAAATAAACATATGTTTGAATGTCAGGTTGTAATAAGTGCTATGGAAAGATGCAGGGAGGTTGAGCGTGATGGAGGTGTTGCTACCCTATCAACAGTGGCCAGGGGAGGTCTGTCGGAGAAGGTGACATTTCACAGTACAATGTGAAGGAGCTGATTAAACAAAGAGAACAAGAGTGGGCAGGAGGGTATTCCAGGAAGAGGAAACAGCCTGTGCAAAGGCCCTGAGGCAGCACCATGCCTGGTGTGTTGGAGGAACAGTGAGGAGGCCTGTGTGTCTGGAGCAGAGTGAGTGAGGGGGAGAGAGGGAGGAGGGGAGGGCAGGGAGGGGACGGGGCAGGTCGTGCAGGGCCTTGTGGGCCGTGGGGAAGACTTGGGCTTTTACCCTCAGGGAGGTGAGAGCCCTGGAGGGCTGTGGGCAGAGGAGGGGCAGGACCTGCCTCAGGTGCTCACAGGTGCCCTCTGGCTGATACAGGGAAGACAGACTGTGGAGGGGGCGGGGAGGGCTAGGGGTGGGGATCGGGGGACCAGGGTGGAGGTCTAGTGATGGTGAGTGATGGTGGAGGCTGAACTAGGATAGAGTCAGCTCACTGTTCCTCCTACTCTCTAGGCATGGTCCTACCTCAGGGCCTTTGCACTGCTGTTCCTTCCTCCTGCAATGCTTTCCACTTCCCTTCCTCAGCTCCTTCAGGCTTTTGTTCAGATCCTACCTCCTCAGTGTAATCTTCCCTGACCACCTGTTTAAAATGGCATCCCACCAACACCATACCCTAACCCTGCTTTACCTTTCTCTATACTTCCTTGATTATTTTTACTAACATTTTACTAATTTTTTTTTGCCCCATCTCCCCCACTAGACTGTAAGCTCTGTGAGGGCGTTGTTGTCCATCCTATTCACTGCTGTTTCCCCAGTTCAGTGCCTGGCACATAGTAGGTGCTCAATAAATGTTCGTTGAATGTATGACCTCTGGAGGTGAAGAAGGGGATGCTCAGAACATTTTCCTGGAGCTCTAGTGTTTCCTGGAAGCAAGAGAGAGGGTCTCGTGGGTGGAGGCGAGTCTGGGCAGATGCAGCAATATGCATTGGCTGGACACCGAGCAGACCAGGAGGCTTTAAGTGCCAAGGTGAGGGCTGCACAGGCCTGCAACCTGTATCTTTCTGTCCCCCTCCTGCAGGTAATCTGTGTTGGAGGATGCGGAGCCATGACCGAGGGGACCAGAGGTGCTGGCTGAAGAAGCAAGCTGGGGGTGGTGGGGGACATCTCCCGGGAGCCTTGACCTCACTCTGGGTAAGTCACTCCAGTATTTGGGACACAGAAGGGACCTTAGAGATTGTGGAGACCACAGATGGGTAAACTGAGGCTCAGAGAGGAGAAGAGAATCATCTCTGATGACCATCACCCTTCTCCACACCCATATGCTTCTGGCCCCTGGGGCAGGGTCACTGGCCTTACCTTCTCACCTTTGAACTAACACATGGGCCTGAGTAATGCTGCCCTGAATTGCTGTGTGCCCTTGGGCAAATTGCTTCTCCTCTCTGGGCTCTGTTACCCCTTTTCCTTAACAATCAAAGAGTGGGCTTTGGTTGGCAGGTTTGGTTTAATTGCACTCTTTGCCTGCAATTTCTGCGACTGCCACCAGGTGGCTTCAAGTGCCAAGCTCCCCACAGGCTAAGGGCTATCCCTGCCCCTCCTGGAGGGCACCAGGGCCATCTCAAAGGAGGAGCTGGCTGCAGGTGTTTCTGTCCATGGGGCTGTTAGGGAAAAGGGAAGAAGGAAAAGTGGCCAGAGAGCTGGTGTTTCACCCTGCGAGGGGGCCTGGATTGAAGTTGTCTTATCCCCTCCCTCCTGCTGTTCTAAGGTTCTGGGCTTCCAGCATAGATGGTGAAACACTGGCCTGCCCAGCTGCTGCCCACTGCCTGGGACATTCCTGATGGAGCCCCAGTCCCTGACACTGACCTAGGATGTTGCTACTCCGGGCCAGCCAGCCTTCCAGCTGTGCTGTGTGATCCTGAGGAGGTGGCTCCCACCTTGGGGCTTCAAGTGCCCAGTCTGCAGTAGGAGCCACGTGCCATCTTGGGAGGCAGCTGGAGGAGGTCACATGAAGAAAAGCACAGAGGGGAGAGGAGCTTGGGGGGGCATCACCCCCACCTGCCTGGTACATTCTCTCTGCCACGCCTCTACCCAAGCTGTGCCCCCAGCCTGAAGCACCTTTCACACCCCTCTCTGCAGCTCCAGTCCACCCAGCATTCCAGCCTCCTCTAGGAAGTCTTCTCAGATTCCCTCCTCCCCAGCCAGTGAGCACCTTGTCCTCTTTTGGGCCCCCTCAAGCCTCCTCTACTGTGAACAGCTTTGGCTGGGGGCAGGGGGTGTGTGGCCAGACACTCATGACATCTCAAATGACTAAAGGTGGAGACTGGGGGGCCCCAACCCTCTCCCAACGCTCCAGTGTCACACTGCACCCCTCCCCCAAACCCAAACCCAAACCCCTCCCCACGTTGCACCCGTGTCCACCCCCGTGGCGGTGTCCTTCCTGTTCAATCCCACTGCTTTGCCCCCTGCACGGGGTCTCCTGGTTGTGTCTGAAGGGCTCTGGTTAAGTGGGCAGGGATTTGGTGGGGGGCGGTGGCTGTGCCTGGCAGAGCACTGAGACATTGACGGTAATCATGGGGGTACTCCGGGCTATTCCAGGCAGTGTGTTGTAGGGATTCTGGGTATAAGACCCTCTGAGTAGGGAATTCCATGGCAGTCCAGAGGTTAGGACCCTGCACTTCCACTGCTGGGGTTCGATCCCTGGTCGGGGAACTAAGATTCCACGTGGCGCAGCCAAAAAAAAAAAAAGTAGAACGTTGGGACTCAGTTGGATCTCTGATCTGCGGCCACGAGGCGTCGGGTCCACCGTGCAGACCCCCTCGGGTTGGGGGGATGCTGGCATGCGGGCCCTCGAGGGCCGCGTTCACGCTCTGGGTGCTGGCATCACAGGGCAGAGGCTCGGGAGCCTGGGAAGACATAATGTTTTAGTTAAGAGTCGTGTTGGCCGCAGGGCCCAGAGCAGGGACAGGTGGATAATAAATCGTGGCCGTGGGGAGAGTAGTGCTCAGATGTGCGTTTGTCCATCAGGGGATGGGGACGACCCCAGGCCTACGGGGCTTTTCTCACGTCCCCCTCCGGGGCTGGCATCACTCCTCCTGGGGCCAGGCAGCCCACGCCCCTGCTCCTGCCTGGTTTTGGTCTCGGTGGGTCACGCACACACTGGGGGACCTGCCCCCAGGGCCCAGCAGGAAAGTGGGGCTTTTAATAGCCACCCCAGCTCCATTCCTCAGCTCCCACTACATGCCAGGGTTTGTGCCACATCCTTGTCTGGCCTCCACTTACTCTAGTCTGTGAAGTGTGAGGCTCGGTGGTGGTGGTGATGATTATGGCCCATTTTACAGATGGGGCATCCAAGGTCACCCTGCCCCCTCTAGTCTGCTGCCCTGGCAACCCTTGAACTGAGGGGTCCCCAGCCCATGAGCAGGTCCCTGATAGAGGAAGGGGGAGGGTTTCCCACATCTTGGCTGAGGTGAGGGTGGGAGAAAGCATTTTCAGGCCTTTTTGACATTTAACAAACAGTATGCAAATCACATGCAAATCGCATGCAAATCATCACCCATTTCTTAAGCCTCAACAGCTTCGGTGTGTTCTGAAATAATAATGTTGGACTTGTCCCTTGGTATTGGCTTGGAGGAGGGGTGCAAAGTTTTTCCCTTCCTCCCTTCCTTCCCCTTCCCTTCTGTTTTCTTTCCTTCCTCCCTCCCTTTCTTCCCTCCTCCCTTCCTTTCTTCCTGTTATCTCTTTGCTCCCTTCACATTGTTTTTTGGAGGCTTCCCAGTTCTAAGATGAATACAAACAGCAAAAGTGGCTTCCAGCGTTCCCATTTTCCACATGGGGAAACTGAGGCACTGAGAGGCACAAGCCTGGACTGAGATACCAGAGACACATTGTGGAAGGCATCCGCCACCAAGTGTCATCATGGACCAAAGTGGACAGTACCTGTGACCCAAGGAGGAGAGATGACAGTGGCTGGACCAGGCCTAACAGGGCTTGGAGGAGCCAAGGGGAAGAGTTCTTGGGTTTCTTGGCCTAGAATGGCAGGCTGCCATGCTTGGATCTGGAGAAATCTGACACTGAGTGATCTTACTCCTCAAGTCCTTCTTTGTCTTGCTACTCCATCATCATGTTCTTTGAATTTGGGCCACAGCCTCTGCTCAGTTTGCATGCCCTACCTTTTCTGTTTGCAAACTCCTATTCATCCTTCCAAGCCCCAGCTCCAGTGCCCCCTTCTTCAATGCAGACATTTCTGATCCTCCAGAAGAGCTTCCACTTCCCTCTGGGCTTCTGTTACCCCAGATCTCTCTCTCTCTCTCTCTCTCTCTCTCTCTCTCTGGTCCAACCCTGACCCTTTTGGAGACAGCAGCATTACTGGCCAATCTGGCTTGTTTCCAGCACTTGTGTGATTATCACACACCTCCAGACTTTTGTATTCTCTGCGCAGAATGTCCTTTTGGGTCTTTTTCACCTGGAATAGTCCTACATTTTCAAGGTCGTGGCACTAATACCCCACCTCCATGTGGGCTCGACAGCTCTCTCCCAGTCGGCCTCTGGGTCCTGCAGCCTCCATCCCTTCATCCCTGACGCACAGAATGGGGAGGTCTGTGTGTCCTCCCAGTCTTAGGAGTTGCCTCTGGGGCTCCAGGATCACCTAGGCTGGGATTGCAGGGTGATCCTGTAGTACAGTACAAATTCAGTACAGAGGGACTGAATTTGAGTAGGTACGGAATAAAAGACTAAGTGTTTGGAAACAACGCCAAGTTCAAACTCTCTCACTTAGCCTTGGGCTTCACTCTCCATTGACAGTTCAGTCCTAAGCACATCCTTCGCCCTTCCCTCTCGTTCACCTCCAGAACTCTGCACAAGCCATTCCCTCTGCCAGGAATGCTTTTCCCTTGACTCCTATTCTGGGTGACCCCAAGCCAGGCCCCTCCCATCTCTGCGCTGTGAAAATGGGGGAAGTCCGGTCCCCCCAGGGCCTCTCAGGCTCCTGGCTCCACCCCAGGAGCAAGTCCGGGCTGCAAGGAGTTTCGGGTGAGACCTGGCAGCCACCATCTCTCCCTGGGGCCCGTGGCGTCCCGGGGAGGGGCCACCTCCTGCCTTGGCTGCCCACTCACTTTGTGCTCCCAGAAGTTCGAGGGGAATTTTCCTGGGTGGTAAGTAAATCCAGGTGGTTCCCAGAGGAGGCATCTGTGGCTCAGCCAGAAACTGCCGGCACCTGGACTTTCTGCTTTAGTTCAGTTGTGCTCCCCCCCCCTCTCTCTCTCTGTCTCTTTCTCTCTCTGTGTGACTCCAGGCCAGATTCTGACATTCTCTAACTCTGCCCATTCGTTCAACGGGCATTTATCGAGTGAGCTCTGTGTGCCCGGCCCTGGGCTGGCTGCTGGAGATACCAAGACAGACTTTGCTTCGGCTGCTGTAGACAGTGGGGCAGGTTGTTCACTGCACAAAAACATCCAGCTGGGCCTCAGGAAGGGATATCTTTGCATAATTCACACAGAGTCTCCTATACAGATTAGTGGTGGTCCTGACCTGACCCTGATGCCTCCCCCACCCCCCGTGTCTCCATCTGTCTCTGTGTCTCATTCAGTCTCTTCTCTATGTATCTGCCCCCATTTGTCACTCTTTCTCTGTGTCTCTTGATCTCTGCTCTCCACTCTCTCTATCTGAGCCTCTCTGTCTGTCTCCATCTCTGTCTCTGTCTCCTTCCATGTCTCTGGCCGTTTATTTCTGTCTCTCTCTCTCCATACCCCTGTATCTGTCTCTCATATCCCCTCTCAAAAGGGACATCCTTTCCCCCTGATGCTCTGAGCATGACCTCTGGGTGTTTTCAAAAGTTGCTGGGAGGGCTTCCCTGGTGGCGCAGTGGTTGAGAGTCCGCCTGCCGATGCAGGGGACGCGGGTTTGTGCCCCGGTCCGGGAAGATCCCACATGCCGCAGAGCGGCTGGGCCCGTGAGCCATGGCCGCTGAGCCTGCGCGTCCGGAGCCTGTGCTTTGCAACGGGAGAGGCCACAAGAGTGAGAGGCCCGTGTACCGCAAAAAAAAAAAAAAGTTGCTGGGTCCATGCATTCTGTAATCACTGATGAAGCACCTCCAATTTTCAGGGCACTGAGGACAGCGTGGTGACTAGGACACCCAGCTGTTGGCCCTCATGGGGCTTGAGGTCCAGCAGAAGAGACAGAAGCTGCAGGGTGGGGGGCTGCTCCTAGGATCCTGGAAACCTCTCCTCTGGGCTCGGCCTACACTCTTCTGAATGACCTCGGGTGGTTCTTGTCCCTCTCTGGGCCTCAGTTTCCCCACCTACCCAAGGAGGGAGGTGTTTAAGGTGGCTGGGCCAGAAGCTGCTTGCAAGGCCTAGGCAGTTTGTTGGCAGAGAAATCCTGGCTCATCCCCACACCCAAATGGGTTTGAAAGAATCCTCCGAGGGGAAAACAGTTGTAAGAAAAAAGAAAACAAAAAATCAGAGTCAGGCTTCCCTGGTGGCGCAGTGGTTAAGAATCCACCTGCCAATTCAGGGCACACGGGTTCGAGCCCTGGTCCGGGAAGATCCCACGTGCTGCGGAGCAACTAAGCCCGTGCGCCACAACTACTGAGCCTGCATTCTGGAGCCCGCGTGCCACAACTACTGAAGCCTGCGCACCTAGAGCCCATGCTCCGCAGCAAGAGAAGACACCGCCATGAGAAGCCCGCGCACCGCGACGAAGAGTAGCCCCCGCTCACCGCAATTAGAGAAAGCCCACATGCAGCAACGAAGATCCAATGCAGCCAAAAAAAAAAAAAATTGGAGTCGCCTGCCCAGGCTGCTGTCTGACTTACCTTGGGTGGAAGCAGCCTCACTGCCATCCCCCAGGTCATCAGAGAAACTTCCTGCCTCTTCCCCTGATGGCCCCTGGCTCTCCACTGAAGGCTGCTGGCCTCACCATGATGGCTCTAGGCCTGGCACTGACTTCACACTTGTGCTCTGAGCTCCAGACCCACTTAACCCCTTGCCGGGCCCCAAGTGGGAGAAACTCTTTCCAGCCATAGGGCCTTTGCATGTGCTGTGTCTACATTTGGAGGACCCTCTCCCCACCCCTTATCTTTCATCCTCCAATTTGCAGGTTCAATGTCACTTCCTTGGGGAGGCTCTAAACAACCACGTTCCCTCTGTCTTTTTTTTTTTTTTTCGTTCCCTCCGTCTTGCATTCACGCAGTATCCTGTTCTATTCCTTTGTAGCATTAATTATTTATATTATTATTCATTCAATGTATTATTTTCCCCACTAGCCTCTGGGCACCGTGAATGAAGGCTGGGGTGAGGTCTGGTCTGATCACTGATGGATCGCACAGTATTTAATAACCCAGAGTAAGGGAGTGGGAGCCAGGGATTCCCTCCCTTCCCAGACTCCCTCAGGGTCCCCCGCCCCAGTTTCTGTCACCACTGTGTCCAGCTCCAGGTGGCCACGGGGCACAGAGCCTCGGAATTGGGATTCCAGGCACTCTGGCTCCTGCCGCTTTGATAAATGGGGGAAATTCAGAATTAATTATTGACTGCTGCGCCGAGCTGGCCTGATCTGGACAGATAAAGAGTGTCCTCACTGCCACGTCTGCCCAGCACTTCTCAGGAGTTTATTAGAGGTTGGGAGGCAGCTGGCTGAGGGGAGAAGCCCAGAAGGCACTGGAGCCAGATGGAGCTGAGTTCAAAGCCTGGCTCTGCTGGGCCACTTTGGAAGGCCACAGCCTTCCATGGATCTCATTGCCCGCGGGGGCAGGTCGCGCAGGACCTTGTGGGCGGAGGGGAGGACTTGGGCTTTTACCGCGAGGGAGGTGGGAGCCCTGAAGGGCTGTGGGCAGAGGAGGGGCGGGGCCTGACTCAGGCGCTCACGGGCGCTCTCTGGTGGCCGCTTCTTGGAGGGCAGGCTGTGGGGGGTGAGTTTGGGAGCCAGGGGACCAAGGGTAGAGGCAACTGCGCTGGTCCAGGTGAGTGATGATGGCGGAAGAGAGTTCCAGGCAGAGGGAACATCCAGTGCAAAGGCCCTGAGGCAGGGTCGTGCCTGGCGTGTTGGAGGAACAGTGAGGAGGCCCATGTGTCTGGAGCAGAGTGAGGGGGTGGGGAGAGGGAGGAGGGGAGGGCAGGGAGGGGATAGGGGCAGGTCGTGCAGGACCTTGTGGGGAGGACATGGGCTTTTCCTCCTAGACGGATGGAATGTGGTGGGTTTTTGCAAGAGCGAAAGCTCTGAGCGGAAGGCTGGTCGCACGGTCTCTGGATCCCAGACAGGCGATGACCCCACCCAGGAGTCAAGGATTTGAGTCATGCCTCCGCCTACCCTTAGCTGAGTGAACTGAGGCTAATGACTTGCCCTTCTGGGCCTCAGTTTCTCATCTGTAAAATCGGTGCAATAGTAGACCACTCTCTCACAGTGGTGAGCCTCACATGAGCTCAGGATGGGTAGGAGCTGCTGGCTCCATGCAACAGTCACGATTGGGATTAGGGTGAGGAGAGCAAGGCACTGGCCTTCGCACAAAAATTAGGGGGCTTGGAGGAAGGTGGTCAGAAGATACAAACTTCCGGTTATAAGAAAAATAAGTACCAGGGATGTAATGTACATGATGACTGCAGCTAACACTGCTGTAGAATATATAGGAAAGCTGTTAAGAGAGTAAAAGCTAGAACTTCCCTAGCAGTCTAGTGGTTAAGACTCCGTGCTTCCACTGAGGGGGCCCGGGTTCGATTCCTGGTCAGGGAACTAAGATCCCACAAGCTGTGCAACACGGTTGGAAAAAAAAAAGAGAGAGAGAGAGAGTAAATCCTAGAAGAGTTCTCATCACAAGGAGAAAAAATGTTTCCCCTTTATTCTTTTCTTTTTATTGTATCTATACGAGAAGATGGATGTGAGCTGAACCTATTGCAATAATCCTTTTACAGTATGTGTAAATCAAACCATCATGGCCTTAAACTTATGCATGGATGTACGTCAATTATTTCTCAGTAAAACTGGGGGAAAAAAAAACTTTGGAGGCACTGCCAAATTCAGTCATTCGGATAAATACTATTTTAATGCAACATTTGAAAAAACTCCCAATGAATGCAAAAACATCTGCAATGAACAAAGTATCTAAGTGTTAAATATTGACAGGCTGTGACCCCTGCACTGGCTCCACCCTCACCTCACCCTATTTCAGGCGCTGCTGCACCTGGGAGGCCATTCCTCCTGCCCAGCCTCCCCTCCCTGCAGTAAAGGCCTCTGATTAAACCTTCATTCCAGATAATTAAGCCCAGGGATCTGGGGGCCTAGCAGTGATGCAGGAGGGAGACCCTGGCAGGGGTGGGCCAAGCTGGCCCTCCCCCCGGGGAGAGGGAAGGCCAGGAGGGAGATCACTGAGTGGCTGGAGCAGAAGCCTGAACTTAATTAGCCCCTCAGGATTAATTACTAGGCCCAGGAACAGGCTGACAAATCTATTACCCGAGTGGCTCCCAGCTCCAGGCTTCCCTCATTCTCTCCATCATTTTTCTCTAAACCTCCTCCTCATGCTTTTCCAAGAAAATATATTTATTAAAAAAATGCAACTTTATATCCTACCATGAAAACCCAGATACATATTTTCTGCGCAGAGTAGATGGTATATAAATTTGGGGAGCTATACAATGAAGTAACTATATAACTGTTAAAAAATGATCTACGTGGTTCTGTTTGGAACCATGGCAACAGCTGTGAGCAATGAGTATGTGCTGAGCGTGTACGCACTCTTAGCTCATCTTCTCACAACATCTCTGCGGGGGGTGCAAGCTATCAGCACCCCCATTTTGCAAGAGCTTTCTGACACTAGGATCTGTGCTCTGGGACCCCACAGAACAACCCAGAGTGGGTTCTGACTTGAGATCTTGTCCTGCAAAGCCCCGACAGGCTCTTCTGTGAGCCACTTTGGGTTCCAGTTGAGCCCAGATCTTGTTACTTTTTGCTTTCTGCCTCCAAACATTTACCTTGGCTTTTTTTTTTTACCCTCCCACCAGAAACGCCCCTCCTTCATGCCCCTCCTTCGTATGTGTGAATCTGCCTCAGTTTTCAAAACTCAGGGGCACATGTCTGCAGGAGGTTTTCTTTGTGAACCCCTAAATTGAGGCTTCACCCACCCATCCCACCACAGGCTCCCCCACAGTCTCCTCCCCAGCCTGATTGCTCGGGCTGGAAGGTCTCTGTGTCTCCCAGCTTGGGGGCATCTCCGGCACTGGCTCTTTGGATCCTGCATAGCCCAGCTCGGGTAGGATATCAGTCACGGGAGGACACTCATGGGCTCTTTGGTTTCTCCTCTCACCTCCAAGCACTAGTATTATCCTCCCATTTTACAGGGGAGGAAACTGAGGCTGGGAGAGAGCCAGTGACCTGAGTCACACAGCAGAGAGGGGACAAAGTCCAATGCTCTGTCATGAACTGCTTCCTGTGTCCACTGCCCCACACTGTGCAGATGGGAAACTGAGTCACCAAGGGGCGAACTGGCCTTGCCGAGGTCATATGGCTGGTCCTGGCGGTGGAGCTGGGGATGGGCCCCTCATCAAAATGGAAGATGAATCTGGATGGAAGGTGGGAAGGGCCAGATCATGGCAGGGCTGGTGGGGGAACCCATCCTGGGGTATTCCGTGGGGCCCCAGAGCACAGATCCTAGTGTCAGAAAGCTCTTGCAAAATGGGGGTGCTGATAGCTCACCCCCACCCCCAGAGCTATTGTGAGGAGAAGACGAGCTAAGAAGAGTATGTAAACACTCAGTACGTACTCAGTGCTCACAGCTGTTGCCATGGCCCAGGCAAAAGTGGGCAGGCTGGAATGAGTGGATGGGGGGCGAGGGGCAGAGAGATGGGGCACAGTGGGACTTCCCTGGCGGTCTAGTGGTTAAGATTCTGCACTTCCATGGCAGGGAGCATGGGTTCGATCCCTGGTCAGGGAACTAAGATCCGGCATGCCATGCGGTGAGGAAAAAAAAAGAAGAGAGAGAGAGAGATGGGGCACAGTGGGGTAGAGGGAGTGTGTGTCCTCAGACTGGGGACACCGAGGCTCCTACCCCTTCTGCCTTGTCCCCATCACCCACCTCCCTCTCCTGCTGCAGAAATACTTAAAGGAGCCCATGTCTTTTTGGCTGGCCTTTGGGGACATTTCACCATTTCCTGGGGTCCAGGGTCTAAGGAATTAATTTAACCGGTGCAAGGCTGAGGCTAGGAGAGGCGAACCCCAAAGTGAGAGCCTGACACCCATTCCTCTACCCCAAGGCGTCCCCTGGCTACCATAGGTCCATTACGCAGATGGGAAGACTGGGGTCCAGAGAGGAAGGAGTGGGCCGGAGGTCTCTCGACCTCATAAGGCTCACATCCAGGTGAGTCTCCTCCCCTCCTTCCAGAGCTCTCTCCTGGGGAGCTTTTCATGCTCATGAAGACGTGAGTGGTTGATAGAAGTCTTAATGGTGGAAACTCAGGTGTGTTAACAGGAAACTGGAGTAATGACTCCCAGGAAGGCACAATGCCAGGCGGCAGCTTTAATGATCCAGGCCTGACAGCTTCACCCCTTCAGCTGGGTCTCCTGAGCCTCCAGCCTAATCTTGAGACCCAAGGGCCACTGCTGCCCTCAGTCCGGTGAGCACTCAGGACACACTCGTGGGCACACACACACCTGCGGCTGACACCGCACACCCCGTGGACCACAGCCGGTGCTTGTGGGTGGTATGTGTCTCCCCCCACCCCCCAGCTTCACACAGCAGCCCAGCCCTCTGCCTGCTGCCTGGGAACAATTATAGAGTCAGAGGGATGCCGCGGCCCGAGATGGGCCGGCATCATGTTTAATTCATCTTGGGGCTAATTATAGCCAGGCTGGGGGAGGGGCGTGGTAACCTTGGCCTACCCTCCCCAGCCCTTCCTGCCAGCCAGGGTGACTGGGGAAGGGTGGAGGGACGGGGGCTCGTGACCCGCTGTTGGCCCCAGCTCTAGGCAGCTAAGCCAGCCCTCCTGAACCTCCTGCTAGGGTGCATGCCCGGAGGAGGAAGGAGGCGGCGCTCATGGCGGAAAGGCGGGCGCAGGGCCTGGCAGGGCGGTGGGAAGAATGGGGATTCCAGCTCAGGGCAGCTGTGAGCAAGCATCAGGATGGTTCCTTCCCTCCCTCCTCCTTCAGTCCCACGGATCAGGATTGATACTACTATCTGGGTTGCTACAGGCTGTTACATCACCTTCCAGGTGGACCCACCAAAGCTAAGGTCCCAGGACAGAGCCGGCTGGTACCTAACGATAGGTAATAACCCACACTGAGATCATGTGACCGTCCGCACTGTTTGTAGCATTCGGCCCTCCGTAAACGTTAGCCACATTCTTTGCCGGTGTCCTTGGGTGCTTACCGTATGCCCGGAACAGTTCTGAGCAACTTGCACGATTGTCACCGGACGGAGATTAACGCCTCGCTCGCCTCCGATGCAAAACTTGAGGAGGCGCCCACAGATGCAAGAGGTAAATACCATTTTAAGTCATATTTTTAAAATGTTTTTTTATGGTGGTAAAAATCACATAATATAAAACATATTATTTTAACCATATTTAACCGTACAGTTCAGTGGCACTAAGTACATTCACATTGTTGTGCAACTCTCACCATCACCCATCTCCCGAGTTTTTCACTTTTCTAAACTGAAACTCTGTCCCCGTGAAACACTGTTCCCATTCTCCTCCCAACAACACCCACCAATGTATTTTCTTTTTAAAAAAAAAGCTAATTAATTTATTTTTATTTTTGGCTGTGTTGGGTCTTCCTTGCTGCGTGAGGGCTTTCTCTAGTTGCGGAGAGCGGGAGCTACTCTTCGTTGTGGTGCACAGGCTCTAGGCACTTGGGCTTCAGTAGTTGTGGCTCACGGGCCCTAGAGTGCAGTCTCAGTAGTTGTAGCGCGTGGGTTTAGTTGTTCCGCGGCATGTGGGATCTTCCCGGACCAGGGCTCGAACCCATGTACCCTGCATTGGCAGGCAGATTCTTAACCACTGCGCCACCAGGGAAGCCCTACCAATGTACTTTCTGACTGTGAATTTGACTATTCTACGTACCTTGTATAAGTGGAGTCAAATAGTATTTGCCTGTACCTACTGTATATTTGAATGCATTTCTAAGGTTGTCATATTTTAAAGAATCCAAACTGGGACTTCCCTGTGGTCCAGTGGTAAAGAATCTGCCTTACAATGCAGGGGACGTGGGTTCGATCCCTGGTCAGGGAACTAAGATCCCACATGCTGTGGAGCAACTAGGCCCATGTGCCACAACTACAGAGCCCACGTGCCCTGGAGCCTGTGCACCACAACTAGAGAAGAGAAAAGCCACAACTAGAGAGAAGCCCATGCGCCACAACAAAAGATCCCACATGCCTCAACGAAGGTCCCGCGTACTGCAACTAAGACCCGATGCAGCCAAAAATAAATAAAATAAATAAATAAATAAATAATAAATCTTAAAAAAAAAAAAGAATCCAAACCAATGTAAAAAAAAATCCACATGGAAGAAGACATCCAAATATTAAATACAGATGGATGGGACCCTGCACTGTATGATCTGATCATCCTGACAGCCCCTAGGAGGTGGGGATTGTGATGGTCAATGCCTAGTTTACAGATGGGGACACTGAAGCATGGAGAGGCCAGGCGGCATGCCCTTGTCCACTTTCCCGCTCCCCCACTTCATCCCCCTGTCCTGGCCCAGGTCGGGGCTTTGTTCTCCCCTCCCCAGCTTGGACACCTCCTTCCTGACACCCAGCCAATCCCCAACAACTTGTCTGAGCTACATGGCCCGAAATAGCTTTGGGTGTCAGTCGCTGGCAGGCTGCCCTGGGCCACATGCCCACAATCCTCCAAAAAATCTCTTCCCGGTGGGTGGGAGACACCTGGGCTCCAGGGCTCAGCATCCGACCACCTGCTGCCCCCGCCTGTGCCACAGTGTCCCCATTTGTCCCCTGGGAGAGTGAAGGCTCTCACCCCTGGCTTCCCATCCAGCGAGGTTGGTGGTGAAACCAGGTCCCCCCACTACTTGAGAAGCCACCATTCATGAAGCCTTCCTTGGGGGATAAGCACGACCCCCTCCACATTCCAGTTTAAATATATGTGCATTTCGACGAGTGGTTTAGCACTGGAATTCCAGAGCCAACTGGCCTGGGTTCAAATCCTGGCTCCACCACGTGCATGCTGTGTAACCTTAGGCAGACCACTTAACCTCTCTGTAGCAACTGGCCCCATCTGCAAAAGGCAATCTAGGGGCTTCCCTGGTGGCGCAGTGGTCGAGAGATTGCCTGCCGATGCAGGGGACGCGGGTTCGTGCCCCAGTCCGGGAGGATCCCACGTGCCGCGGAGTGGCTGGGCCCGTGAGCCATGGCCGCTGAGCCTGCGCATCCGGAACCTGTGCTCCGCAACGGGAGAGGCCACAGCAGTGAGAGGCCCGCGTA